TTGAAGTGGTAGTTCAGTGGGAAGCAACCCAAGAAGCCTCAAAATCTAAGCTAAAGTATATGCTGTATATTTTTTATTTGTTTAGAAAAAATATAAATAATTGGACTAATATTGCTTCTAAATGTCATTTCAAAAGCTTGAATCAGTGTGCAAAAATGCWGCGGACAGAAAGTGAAGCGAAAAGCCGGGAGTTTCACTGATGCTTATCTAATTGTCGGGATGGTTACATTGCCCTTGTGGTCACACAGCCTGCCACGCCGATTTGGTTGAACGCTGATGCCACAGCTCTGATATGAAAGCAACCCACACAGTTGCTCAGGGCATAAGCTGAGGTCTGAGCCACCAGAAAAACAAATTTGATGTGAAATCCCATTTGTTATTACTGCCAAACATTTGTATTGCTTGAAAATATGGAACTATGTTAAATTGTATGACAGTGTAACGCGAAGGGGAGGAAGCTTTGCATTAATAATAAAGAAAAGTTTTCTTGATGAATAAATGCATGATAGCTGTGAAAACATCTGAGCAAACACTGTGAAGAGTCGCACAGAGCCACCTGACTGAGACATCCTGTAGTTTAGAGTCTCCCAGTATTCAAATAACTTGTCTGTCTCCGACCCTGATCCTCAGGGCCCACTAATTGAAATGTTTTTGATCTTCCCCAGCAACTATACTTTAAATGTAACAGAGTGGTCATCGAAGACTTCTGTAGATTTTGATGCCGAGCTGTGGAAGTAATCCCATTATTTGAGTCTCTAGTTTGTTAGAGCAAGGAAACATTTGAAATATGCAGGACGTGTGGACCCGCAGGACCAGGGATGGGGTTTGTCTGTGGTTATATTTGCATGTACTATTTCAAAAAGTTAGAAACAACTGAATGTCTGGAGGGGATTGTCACACAGTTCACAAACTCACAAAGGACAACACACCACAAGGACATCACTGAACAGCTGCTACTGCTTCTCCCTGCTGCTGACTGAGCAAACTGCAAACAGAGAAAGCAGAAACATGTTAGTTTTGGGTCAATAATGGAATATGCTTGTTTTAATTATTTCGGGGTTGGACAAAACCATGTGGGTATTCAAAGTGTACATGCTCTTCATTACCCAAAACATGTTTTTGTTTATTTAAAGGGGGGATATTATGCATAATGGACTTTTTAGAGCTTTATATAATGTTATGTCATTCCCTCATCAAAAACATTCCCAGAGTGTTGCTTTGACTCATTCATGCATGCTTGAGAAATCCTTGATTAGGTAGCCATGTGGAGCTGCCTAAATGCTTGCTGGTACAAAGCACCGCCCATTTGCATATAGCTCCTCCCTGGAGCTCAGTCCACAGCTCCTCCTGCCCAACAGAACACCACTCCTCCGAGGCATCATTATGTAGATGTGCTGAAGTGGCAGTGTCAGAAATGGTAGGATGTTCTTGATATGGCTATGATGCAAAGTCATATTTATTTAATAAATACAGCATTTTCATAATAACTGAAAGTAATATAGTTACTTGATTGTGGTAAAGAATTAAACTTTGCACCTAGAAAATACATAATGCCCCCCCCAACCTGTGCGATAAACAAGGTGACACAAAATTATAGACTGCAGCACCAACATCCTTATTTCAAGATCAAAATGTACATTACACCAAATTATTGCAATTTTTCTGCTCATCTTAGACACAATACTCTGAGTATGCATTTTGCCACCTAAAAACTTGGGAGATTATTTAAGAAAGTCCACATGTCTCAAAATAAATTGACAAACACTAAAACTAAGGACATTCTATCTATAATTTTTAGTTAGTTTTGTAAAATGATTATAC